AGGTGATCCGCCCGCCTCAGCCTCCCAAAGTGCTGGGATTTACAGGCATGAGCCACTGTGCCCAGCCAACTTATTTTTCTTATTCTTAATATGGCTACTAGATAAGTTTGTTCAACATAATCTAGGATAAGTATCCCTTATCCAAAATGATTGGGACTAGAAGTGTTTTAAATTTCAAATTTTTTTCTGATTTTGAAATATTTGCATTATAGTAACCAGCTGAACATTTCCAATCTGAAAACCCCAAATCTAAAAGGTTCCAACAAGCATTTCCTGTGAGGTTCATGTTGGTGCTTTAAAAGTTTTGTGCTTTGGATTTCGGATTTTTGGACTGGGGGTGCTTAACCTGTAACAGCAACAATGTATGTGATTAGGTATGCTTTTACATATATTATATACACACACATATGCTTATATATATGGGAAATGAATGACAGCAAAGGTATAAGGTGCTGAAGAGAGGATTTAGGTATATTTTATTGTCAAAAGGCAAAGTGGTATAGTGGTATTTGAAGGTTGATTTGGATTACAGTGGACCTTTGAACAACACAGGTTTGAAGTGTGCACTTACACGTAAATTTTTCAGTAAAACTTACAGAATGTGCCTGCCCCTCCTGCCTCCCTTTCCATCTCCTTCACCTCTTCTGCTGCTGCCACTCCTGAGATAGCAATACTAACCCTTCATCTTCCTAAGCCTACTCAATGTGAAGATGATGAGAACGAAGACCTTTACGATGATCCACTTGCACTTAATGAACAGAAAGTATATTTTCTCTTCCTATGATTTTCTTAGTAACATTTTTTCTCTAGCTTATTTTATTGTAATAGTATAGTATATAATACACAAAACATACAAAATATATGTTAATCAGCTTATCAGTAAGGCTTCTGGTTAACAGCAGGCTAATAGTAAAGTTTTTGGGCAGTCAAAAGTTATATGCAAGGCCAGGTGCGGTGACTCATGCCTGTAATCCCAGCACTTTGGGAGGCTGAGGTGGGTGGATCACTTGAGGTCAGGAGTTCATGACCAGCCTAGTCAACATGGTGAAACCTCATCTGTACTAAAAATACAGAATTAGCCTGGTATGGTGGCATACGCCTGTAGTTGCAGCTACTTAGAAGGATGAAGCTGGAGAATTGTTTGAACCAGGGAGGTAGAGGTTGTAGTGAGCCGAGATCATGAGACTCTGTCTCAAAAAAAAGGAAAAAAAAAAACTACCTGAGCCTCCCAAAGTGCTGGGATTACAAGTATGAGCCACCATGTCCTGCCAGGAATTGAAAATTAAACAAGATAGCACTATATGCTGATTAGAATGGCCAAAATCTGGGAGCCCACGAGCTCAAGGCTGTAGTGAGCTGTGATCACACCACCACACTCCAGCCTAAATGAGAGCATAAGACCCTGCCTTTTGAGGGGAAAAAAAACAACCAAAATCCACACATTGACACCACCAAATGCTGGCAAGAATGTGAAGCAACAGGAGCTATCATTTACTGCTGGTGGGAATGTAAAGTGGTACCACCACTTTGGAAGGCAGTTTGGAAGTTTTTCTTTTCTTTTCTTTTCTTTTCTGAGACAGTCTCACTCTGTTGCCCATGCTGAAGTGCAGTGGTGTGATTTCAGCTCACTGCAACCTCTGCCTCCCAGGTTCAAGTGATTCTCCTGCCTCAGCCTCCCAAGTACCTGGGATTACAGGCGAGTGCCACAATGCCTGGCTAATTTTGTATTTTTAGAGAGGAAGTTTCACCATGTTGGCCAGGGTGGTCTCAAACTCCTTACTTTAAGTGATCCACTCCCCTCGGCCTCCAAAAATGTGGGATTACAGGCATGACCCACCATGGCCGGCCTGAGAGATTCTTGTTTGTTTGTTTTACAAAATCAAATATACTCTTACCATTCAATACAGCACTTGTGCTCCTAATTTACCCAAGTAAGTTAAAAACTAATGTCTACCCAAAAACCTACCTACAGATGTTTATAGCGGCTTTATCATAATTGCGAAAACTTGGAAGCAACCAAGATGTCCTTCAGTAAACTGTGGTATATCCAGACATTGCTAGAAAGAAATGAGCTATCAAGCCATGAAAAGATATGGAGGAAACTTCAGTATGTGTTACTAAGTCAAAGAAGCCAATCTGAAAAGGCTACACTGTATGATTTCAACTATATGACATTCTGGAGAAGGCAAAACTGTGGAGACAGTAAAAAGATTACTGGATGCCAGGAGTTAAGGTGAGAAAGGAATAAACAGGCAGAGCACAGATAATTTTTAGGGTAGTGAAAAGACTCTGTATGATACTATAATGGTAAATATATAACACGATAATGTTGCCCAAACACACAGAATGTATATCTTAATGTAAAGCAGTGCCTGGGTGATGTGTCAGTGTAGGCTCATCAACTGTAACAAATGTAGCACTTTGATAGGGAGCTGATAATGGGGAGCCTACACATAGGTTAGGGTAGGAGGTGTATGGTTTATCTCAGTATCTTCCTCAATTTTGCTGTGAACCTAAAACTACTCTAAGAAATAAAGTTTACTAATTAAAAAAAAACTATGGAATTTGAATTTCCAGAATGGTTGGGTATGTATCTACTGAACTGACATTACTGACGCTGTAACCTACTTATGTAGTAGATATTTAATACTGAATTGAACTGTATGGAATAAATGAACCTACTTTCAAATTAACAAGCCTCATATTATTCAACAGACTCAAGACTTAAAAGTGAAGGTAAAGGGTCATGGCACATCTTGTGGATGTAAATTTCAGGATGTTTAACATTGGAGGATATAATCTAATGTCAAGTGGGATCTGTGTGGAATAATCAGTGCTGCCTGTCTCAGCAGCTTGATAAGCATAGTCTACAGTCACAAATTGAGCTTTTATGTCCATTCTTGCCTGCTAGATTCTCTGCAGTGATTTGCTGAGAGATAATAAAGATGACACTAACATTAGTAAAGTTCTAAGTATTTTACACACATTAACTCAAAGCTGGAGTCTATACAGATCCAGGCAGGTTGAAAAGGCCAGGTGGTATTCTCAATCAAAGCTGCTTGAGTAGAGAAGATTTAGTATTAAATGCTAACTGTGAGGAATCTAAATAGAGAGATCATCATCTCAGAGAAGAGCAGCCAGTAATAACTAATGCCCAGTACTCACATTACGGTTGTGTAACTATATCCAAGATCTAGACATGTTAAATTTATTTCTATATGATAAAAAGATCAAGTCGGATGTAAGCTGAGTTTCTTTAAAAATCCAGATGTGCTATTTGAGCTAATCCAGCTAATTTCAGTCAACTTTTTTTTTTTTTTTTTTAGAGGAAAGCAGCTAAGTGCAATGAGAGCTTTGCTTTAAAGATCAAGTATGTCTCCAATTCCCTGGGATCCCTGTTCTCTTGGTGGTATCTTCTAAAGTGACAGCTAGTGATTGAGAGATTTACTCATTCTTGGAAAAAGGCCATCATCACACTCAAAGGCTGGCTTCTAGGCTAAGAGAATCTGAGCCAAAGAAGGTGAGATCCTTCTCCCAAGGACAAAATTCAGTTTCAGAATCACCAGACTCTCAGAGCCCTCAAATACTCCACATGAACCCTCAGTTTCTCCCTCCAAAGACAGTAAACTGTGAACAAGGAAACAAATCCATGAAGAATAATCTCATTCAGCATGATGCTGACCTGTTTCACTGCTTTGATACCCTCCTTTAATGCCCAATGACAGACAAGATGCAGGCTTAGGACAACAGTGACCATGGCTTTCTATGCCCAGGCAGCAAGCTCTGAACAGTTTCTTTCCATTGTAAATAGTGTAGCAATGAACTGCACAGCAGTGCAGCAGCCCTTTCAGCAAAGCTGAGTCCTGTGGTTAGTTCCCCTGGAATGCAAGAATGTATCTTCTACACAGAAACACATGGCTAATTCCGATGAGGTCTTTGTTCTGCCCCTCTACTGGGAAATAGAGTGTGCCAGAATCAATGTATGTGTAAACCTCATATGCTTTTTTTTTCTTTTTGAGATAGGGTCTCATTCTGTTGCTGCCCAGGCTGGAGTGTAGTAGTATGATCTTGACCTCCATGGGCTCAGCTGATCAGGTAGCTGGAACTACAGGCGTACACCACCATGCCCACCTAAGTTTTGTATTTTTTGTAGAGATGGGGTTTTGCTATATTGCCCAGGCTGGTCTCAAACTCTTGAGCTCAAGCAATTGGCCCATCTCGGCCTCCCAAAGTGCTGGGATTACAGGCGGGAGCCACTGTGCCCAGCTGCCTTGTAATTTTTATATATTCTTCAGAGCCATGTAAATCTGTCCTTACACTGTCGGAAGAGCCCACATTCCAGGTGGAGCAGCCTGAATCCATGAGGTCATTTGCTGTAATTCCAATATGTAATGTCATTATCATTATGAAACAAATACTCCAAGCTGGGTGTGGTGCCTCACACCTATAATCCCAGTACTCTGGAGGTCAAGGTGGGAGGATCACTTGAGCCTAGGATTTCAAGACCAGCTTGGGCAACATAGAGAGACTTCACTTCTATTTAAAAACAAACAAACAAATACTCCTCTTGCTTTTGTTATCTCCTAATCTAAGAGGGGGAAGGTTAACAGGAGTCCCATGAGACAAAAAACCCTCTCTGTAAGCCCTAATCCTTGGGCATGGTAGGACAAAATATTAATGGATTTCTCATCAAATGGCCCAAGATGAATGGAGCCATAACACACTAGAACAGAGGCCATAAACCCAGGATACATACCTGGCTCCAAGACATATACAAGACTAACAGGAATGTTGAGAGAACAAGGTAAGAAACAACTAAGAATCAAAAGCTGGCTAACTCATTCTCGTACAGAAAGCAAATCCATGAGCTCTGTATGCTTCAGTCAGCCAAGTAAAGTGATAATGTAATATACTGAACTGCAAAACGTAAGAAGTAGAAAAGAAATCAGGCATCTGCAGCCACTCTTTCATTCAACCTTTCTTAACCTTTAAGCACTCACCTGTGTGGCCATGGAGTGGTGAGTGTGGCCGTGGTAGTGTAGGTGATGTGCTAGAGGTCACAATCAAGCTCTTGCGGTTACTTGTCCGACAACTGCAATGAAAACAAAATGTGAGTTATAATAGGGCCACACCAAGGGCCCAGAGACCTTGAGTGGCTCTTAAGGAACAAAAGAGTGGCACCATTCCATGAGCTGCACAGTATACTTCTTTAACCTGAACTGGGTCAGCAGTTACACTCGGAACCAGTTAGATTCCATAAACCACTGTGTTCCACCTTGGAATAACTTTTGTCACTGCCTTGACTTTCATCTTGTATTGTCATTGCGCTTTTCCAATGTTTAGTTTTGCTTCCCAGGCAAACACAAGGAGCTCCCTATGTGCAACAATCATGTTCTAAACAGTATCTCATGAAGAATGACCACTGCAAATTGATTTACAAAATAAAAAACACAAATCAAAATATTCTCATATTCTCTAAGAATCCCAAAATATTGACTTAATTTATGAAATCATTATTTTTAGAACTGTTTAGTCTGTGAATTAAGTAATATTCTCATTTCAGAATGAATGTCAGAACAGGCCTGGGTTTCTTCTATAAAACTAGATTTCCATGCTTTCCATTACATGTTAATGCTGTGGCTTTTTCTTCTGGTTGGAGACAACCAGATTATGATGAAAAGCGATTTCATGTAACATCTATTACTGAAAAGTCAGTATAATTCATTTGAAAGTCTATCTTTTAAAGGCATTAGGGAAGTTTATATTCATCATTTTCTTTTTGAGATGGGGTCTCATTCTGTTGCCATTTATATCCATTCAAATATTTATTGAACACCTACTTTCCACTAGGCAGTGTTTTAGGAGAGAAGCAGTAGGGAAACAAAAGAACATCTCTGTCCTCATAACTGAAGTGAGCAGTGCTGTGGGAAAAGGAAGGGGAGGGGAGGGGAGGGGAGGGGAGGGGAGGAGAGGGGAGGGGAGGGGAGGGGAGGGGAGGGGAGGGGAGGGGAGGGGAGGGGAGGAAGAGAGGGAAAGAGGGAAAGAGGGGGAGAGAGAGAGAGAGAGAGAGGAGAAAGGAACTAAGAGCCTGGTGTGGGAGTGCAGATTAGGGAAGTGAAATCTGATGAGAGAGCTGAATGATATGAAGGACTCAGACAAAAGCAGAGCTGAGAGGCAGGGAGAAAAGTAAAAGCACTGAGACAAGAACAAATTTGAGATGTTCAAGAAATAGCAAAGAAGTCAAGGGTGGATAACAGGAGAGGAGAATGACAGAAAATGAAGTAGGTTATAGGAGCAATGGGGAAGGCCAAAGCCAGACTCTGTAGGGCTGATAGAAGGACTGAGATCAATCTCTAGAAAGAGATTACCCTTAGAAATGATAACCATCTTCCCCTAAGAAACCATCAGGAGGAATCCAATCAGGTCCATACCCCTAACTACCTCAGTCACCATGGAATGTCCAGCCACCCACTCTCTTGACAGTCTCCCACTACTCTGAACCTTTGAGAAAAGATTGTACTTCGCCTCCTTGAACTCAGTATGTCATCAGCAAACTGCCTATATCTCGAACTTCTTTTCTGAATGTCTACTTTAAATTCTAGCTCCAAGTGAAACATTGCTACCTCTCAAGGACACCAAAGTCCTGGTGAAATCCCAACTCTTTACAAACACTTTCCATCTATTTTGCAACTGCATCTGGGAACTTAAGAGTGACTGAAGAAAAACCCAGAATCATGCTGGCTGATGAATCTTTATATTTACAGTGACAAACATCAAGTGGGTCCTCATTACTGCCTGACCATCTTAGTACATTTACCAGAGTAATGTGCTTGCTCACTCTCCAAGACAACTAAGTCACATCTTCTCCTCAAACCTCCAATACCCCTTTTCCTTCCTCAAATCTGTACAGAAAATAAAAATTTTAAAAATTAGCTGAGCATGGTGGCACATGCCTATAGTCCTAGATACTTGGATGACTGAGGCAGGAGGATTGCTTTACTACGGGAGGTCAAGGCCAATGACTGTGCCAGAAAAAGAAGAAAGAACAAGTACAGTTAGGCCAATTAGGAAACAAATGACAGATTAAAACCCAATCACACTAATAATCATATTAAATATAAATGTTCTAAATACACAGCCAATTCAGCAGAGACTGTCAGATTGGATAAAATAGCAGAACCCAACTATATTCTGTGAATTATTTGTGAAAGACTGAAACTGCAAACAACCTAAAATAAACACCGACAGATGAATGACAAATAAATCAATGTACATCCATACAATGGAATTCTACTCAGCAATAACAAGGAATGAACAATTGATTTATATAATGGATGAATCTCAAAAATAATTATGCTGAAAGCAAGATGCCAGACAAAAAAAGAGTACATTGTATGATTTCATGGATGAGTTGAACAATTTGCCTCTCAAATATATTCAATCAAAAAATTTGTCCCTGGATATTTAAACTAAAATATACTAAAATCAAAAGTTAAACATAATGTTACTTAACAGGAAATTGTTCTGACACATGCCCTAAAAGAAAGTCAAAGACATTATTTCCAGATCAATCACACCACATAAATTTAAACAAATACAAGTCCAACATATTAAAACGAATTCCTTCATGGTCTTGCACTTTGATTTGCATTTATTTCAAAAACATTAGATGTTATGGGTATGTATGCCAAGATGTGGTATAACCTGTGCTCAACTAGACATTGCAAAATAGGTGGCAGGGTTTGGGCAGAACAGTCACCAACAATTTCCAAATAACCAATAGCTAACTGATGAGGGTATCCACCATACCAAAAGCCCATTATTTCTCTCCCCAGAGCATGGCTACAGTGATACTTGATTTCATGGCTAAAACAAGACTCATTGATTTGCAAGGAATGACCTAAACCACTAAGTTGTATCAGAGGTAGTTCAAAGTAATGCTTGCATACTTTGTAACAGAAATTGAAGACACTGACCATAGTATGGACTGAAATTCCAATAATAGCAATAGTTGCTCTCTCTGTGACTTCCACAGACCATAACAAGGGAAGATGAAGTCACATACTCAGGGAAATGTTGGATTCTGTGAAAAAATATTCCTTTTGAAGAGAGACACATGCTGATTGGCAACTGCAGTGAACAAATTACCACCCACAGTAAGGACTGGTGATATGAGGAATATTTAGGAGGCACAGATAACAAATTACACTGCTTCAAGGAGTTAATGATTGGCAGGTTTGAAGTGTTGACAATAGGTTGCAATGTATCTTGAAATAAACATCTACCCATTGGGAGAGGTGAAATACAAATTTTCTCAAAAATAGAACCACTAAAAAAAATAAAATTTGAGGTCAGGCATGGTGGCTCAAGCCTGTAATCCCAGCACTTTGGGAGGCCGAGGCGGGTGGATCATGAGGTCAGGAGTTCGAGACCAGCCTGACCAACATGGTGAAACTCTGTCTCTACTAAAAATACAAAAATTAGCTGAGCGTGGTGGTGCACACCTGTAATCCCAGCTACTCAGGAGGCTGAGGCAGGAGAATTGCTTGAACCTGGGAGGCGGAAATTGCAGTGAGCTGAGATCGCACCACTGCACTCTAGCCTAAATGACAGAGTAAGCCTCCATCTCAAAAAAATAAAGTAAAATAAAATAAAATATAAAATAAAATTTGAATTTGACCAACCACAATTAAGAAATTTCATTGGTAGGACTCGCAAAGACAAACTATTTAGTTGATCCAATTCCATTTATATAAAATTTTAGAAAATGCTAACTAATCTATAGTGACAGACTGCAGATTAGTAGTTGCCCAATAAGAAGCAAGGAATGGATTATAGATAGTCATGAGGAAACTTCTGAGAGTTACAGATCTGTTCATTATCTTCATGTTCATTATCACAGTCTATTATATTCCAATCATACCTCAATAAAAACATACAATAATTTTAAAATGTAAGCAATATCATGTCTTTCACTTAAAATATCACTCTTTCACTTAAAATCCTCTTTGTCTCACTGAGGAAAAAAGCCAGTTCTGATAATGGCCTACAAGGCATTGTATGATGGATTCTCCATGACCTCTCTCCCTCCTACTCACTCTCCAGCCACACAGGCCTCCTCACCTTTCTTAGAAATGCCAAGCATGCCACCCATCTCAGGGCCTTCACAATTGATATTTTCTTTGCTCATGTTTCTCCCAGATTGCCTCAAGGCTTGCTCTCCCTCCTCCTTCAGGTCTTTGCTCAAGTACAATCTTCTCAGTGAATTTTCCCCAAATCATTCTATTTAAAATTGCAACCCCTCCCAAACTTCTATCCCCCTTAGTTGATAGATTTTTCTCCTAGCACTTATCATCATCTAACATACTACAGTCAGCACTCTGTAGCTGTGGGTTCTACATCCATGGATTCAACCAACTATGGATAGAAGACATATTTTAAAACTTTTTAAATAACACAAATTTTTAAAATACAGTATAACAGCTATTTGCCTAGATTTGCTTTGTATTAGATATTATAAATAATCTAGAGATGACTTAACAGTATATAGGAAGATGCACGTAGATTATATGTGAATATTATGTATGCTATTTTATAAAAGAGACTTGGTCATCTGCAGATTTTGGTATCTGTGTGGGTCCTGGAACTAATCCCCAATATATATGTGACTATATATATTTTGCACATTCATTTTGTTGTCTTCTCATCAGAAATTAAGCTGTATGAGGGCAAGGGCTTTTGTATGCTTTGTGTACTGCTGCATTCCTCAATACCCAGTACACTGCCTGGCAAACAGTAGGCTCTCAATAAATACTTGTTGAATGAATGAATGAGTATGATTTGTTACAAGGATTAAAATAAAAAGGATATATATACACCTGGCCTATGTAAGGTAAATCAAACTGTTATATCTAAATCTTTGTGTATGAAAGTGAAAATGTCTTGAAAATTCAGGGACAGATAATTCCATTTTCATTTGCCTTAACCTTATTTAAAATTTAAAATAAAAGCCAAAAAATTAAAGATCTTCTAGGCTACATGCCTTTTAATAAAGGTACACATAATCTCACTTGGCAAATCTTTAACAGCTGC